GAAGGGATTGTATAGTCTTGGGTATTGTAAGGAGTTTAGTTGGGGAACCACTGGAGAGTTTTCAGCAAAGGACTCATGTGATTGGATTCATGGCTCATTATCTCTCTGGCTACTTTGTTCGAGATAAACTGAGGCATGAGTCAAGAAGGAAGCTTGACTGGGCATGGTGGCACATGCCTATAATCCCAGCACTCCAGAGGCTAAGGCAGGAAGATCACCTTGAGTTCAAGGCCAGCCTGTAATACAAAGCAAGACTCATTCTCAAAAAAAAAGAATGGAAGCAAGAAGAGTAGGCAGCAAGCTCTTTCCAAAATCTACTGCATCATGAAATCAATTTTAGATGGGCATAAGCATTTAATAACTACAAAAAAAAGTAGAAAGTCAGTGCATTGCATATAACAGGTAGTAAACATTCTTGAGTGAGTTTTTGCTAAATGTGGTGTACTGGGATGGAGTATAAAATGAATTTATTATAAAGGGTAACTATGAAAATATTTGAAAGCCTTTGTTTTGAGGCATTCATGTTACTGCCAACCAGAGGAGACTGGTTTTCAGATGCATGGTTCCTGTATAGGACAAGCGAGCCTCTTATATTATTCTGTCTCATCAGTCAGCAGTTTGAGGAAAGAATCTTTACTTGATCATTCTGTCTTCTCTTATTTTCAACTTTTTGTATAGGCGTTCTTAGTACCAAATTGTGGTTTTTGTTTTCCAATCCTTTGTGCTTAGGCTATTTCCCCTAGCTTTTCTTTCCTCTAGCTTTATGGCCTTGTTCTCTAACTCTCAGAGAACTTACCAGCTTCTCCTCCTGCCGCAGGGATTGCCTGTTTACCTGCATATCTTCCCACCCACGCCTTCTGTGCTGTTCCTGCACCTTCTGTGCCTTTGTTGCTGTGAGTTACTGCAGTAACTGCCGCCTCCATGTCCCTCCTTCCCCTTGCTTGTTTCTTTTTCCTGACAACCGTTGTTCACTGAACTCTTGCTCTGAGGTCAGGCCTGATACTGTGTGAGATGAAGATTAGATAGCTGCCTACCAAACTCCTCACCGAGTCACAAAGCTTGTGGTAAAGGGAGTTTAAATAAGCCACGGAGTCTGAGAATTGAGCTGATTTAATCCTGTGGGAAAGTTATGAGTATTCCTGAAGACATCTGTTACGACACTGAGATCTGGGTTGATTCTGTGTGACTTGTGGGCTCCCTGGACCAAAACCAAAAATGTTTTAGCTCTGGGCATGTTCCTCTGGAGGATGCAGATGAGGAACGCTGTTGTATCTGCCATGTTTGCTTTGTGGATGGGCCACATATGCCATTTGGTTATGTAATGATTTCTTTATCAAAAATTTAGCCAAGCCGATGTAGTGGTGCATACCTGTAATCCCAGCACTGGCAGGTTTAAAAAGGAAGATTGCTGCGAGTTCGAGGCGACCTTGTCTCAAAAAAAGTTTAGTCAAGCCCTTTGCCAACCTCAATCAGACTTAAATGTCTGGATGTTCAGCAAGCATACTGAACTCATAATTAACTTTCAAGCCAGAAAAAGCTTAGTGGCAAATCATGTTCAGGAAACGATAACTTTTTCAGTTACATTGTGGGTTTTTTATTTTTGACAGGATTTTGCTCCAGGCTGGCCTTAAATTCACAGCAGTCCTCCTGCCTCAGCCTCCCAAGTACTAAGTTGACAGGTATGTACCACCATGCCTGGTCACATTATATTTTCATTCATTTCCTAGTTCTGGTTCCCTTTAGATAAATTTCAGATTTTGACTATACTGTTTTAGAAAAACAAAAACCAGGCATGGTGGCACATACATGAATCTTTAGCTACTCCAAAGGCTGAGGCAGGAGGATTGCTTGAGCCTAAGTGTTTGAAGTCAACCTAGGCAACATTGTAAGACTGTCTCAGAAACAAAACAGTGGCAACAAAGCAAAGAAATAAAAAAAGAGAAAGCCCAGATTCTTCAGCTGCCTCCCTGCTTTCCAACTCATAAAAGAAAAGGGATTATTGGGACCCTAAATACACTTGAATGCGAGCAATATGGACTGTGACTCCCTGAATTTGCTCACTTTTTACCTATTTCTCACATCTTCTAGGATTTTTGTTATGGGAAATACAATCTGTCTCATATCCTTATAAGCCACTCTGACCTCAAGCAGAAACTGTTCAGAGCTTTCTCCCCTAGCAAAGGACCTCCCTTTTGCCTCTCAGAACAGGAGGCCTGTGACTTTGTATAGAGAGGTCTAAAAATATAGGCCAGAGAAGATTTAGTGACTTGCCTTGGAGCCCACAAACAGATGCCTGTAATGTGGCCAGATTACAAATGGTGAATCAAGGAGCTTGGGTGGGTAAGATGGGCCTGCATGCCTGTCCTGGGCAGACTCCTCTGTGGCCTGATGAGATTGGGCCACGGAAGTTCCTGTTAACAGATGGAAAGGGAGTTTGCCAGAGGCTGAGCTTCTTGTCTGGGTGCTTGAGCTGATGCAGGCCCGGCTGCAGCAGTGGGTAGGGCCAGTCAAATTTCCTTCTGTTGAGTCTTGTTTCCACCTCCAGCCCCTCCTCGATTCTACAGATGCTGGTTTATTTGTGTACTCCATGCTGATCTTGGATTCAAAGCCTCTCATTGTTTTTGAGCTCAGCATTAGCTAGCACACATGCCTGTGGTAGCCAGGGCATCCTGTAAAGGAAATGCCTGGATTCTAACAGCCCTGTCATTCATTCTGTGTATGTGAGCAAGTGTACCTGTGTTTAGTACCAGTATAAGAGTATTTCTCTGCAGGGATTATTACTTGGGGGCTGCAGGGATACCAGACTTAATGTCTGGAGTTCTAGAGTTGGTTTTCTAAGTCTTTTTTCCCTTTCATTCTACTTATAAGAGGATTATAGGCTGTTTTCCCAAACCCTATCTCTGCATATAACTGCAGCACCAGAGCATTCCTTCTTGTGGTGAGAAGACTGCTCTGGAAGCATGTGAGACACAGGACTAACCATGGTTGGTGTTTTTATGACCATGCTAGGCTGGCAGTTGCTTTTGCACTGTAGCTTCAGGGTTCTCCTTCCCATAGGGTATCTCTTTTCATGCTCTCTGAATCTGCCAGAAAAAAAGTGTTACGGTTTGGGTCTAGATATCTCCTCAAAGCCTTATGGGATCATAGGTCGGCCTTTTGCAGAAGTGGCTAAATCTGGAGTTTGTGATGTTAGGATTAAGAGTGTGTGATTACTAAGTCAGTACACTGATTGGTTTGGTACTGCCCTAATCCCAGTAGCCTGGATACAATGCGAGGGACAGAAAGAGGCTGTCTCCTTTGCTTGCTTGCTTTTGCTCTCTCCTCCCTGCCATGAGCTGGTTCACCTCTGTGTGCCCTTCTGCCTTGGAGCCAGCCTGTTACGTACTAAAACCTCTACAAACTGTGAGCTGAATAAACCTTTCCCCTTTAACTTTTGGATGTGTTTTTAACTCAGCAGCGAGAAAAGTAACTAAGACAAGATAGTTTTAGTGAAATGCTGTGAAAACTTCTTCCTTAAAAATCTTACCGAAAGAATCATAATTCTGATAGGCTCTAATTCAGGTGTCCTGAGGACATTTTTAGCTCTATAATTTCTCGTGTTTATAAACTTTTTCTCTAAAATTGCTGAGATCACATCCTTTCCATAACAACAGTGTCTGCAAGTTATTAGCTCTGACATGGCATTCTTTTCTGCGGTATTCTGACACACACATTTAAATTCACTTTCCTGCCAGCAGTTCAGTGCTCTAAGAATTGAACCTGGAATACAAAAAGAGAACATAGCTATGGCATGGACAGTAAGCAGTCTTCCCTCTATAATACAGTGATTAGGTAATCAAGAAACTTAACTGCTAGAAAGATAAAATGCAGAGGCACCCTTTAAAGTTAATACGGTACAATTTCATGTTCATTGCCATCTTGTAACACCGGAACTATCTTCTGAGTCATCAAGAGAAATTATTTAGGACCATATTGTGTGACTTTTTAAAAGATGTTATAAATATTATGAAACTACAGAATGTTAGGTGAATCAGTACATACCACTCTCTCCGGTAAAGTTAGATAAATGAAATTACAGTATATGTGTTAACCAAAGTATATTTCAAAGTAAATATACACTTGAGAATTGGAAAATAAGTCATTTTCCCTTTTCATTTGCTTGTACTACTTGCTGTGCATTTAAATTGTAAAATTTCCTTTAATATTTGCCCTCTGGTTAAGCTATATAGAATACTGCATAAAAATTCTCTGAAGCAGAATAAAAGTTCAAAAGTAAACGTTTAGGGGCTGGGGATTTAGCTCAGCGGCAAAGCGCCTGCCTGGCAAGCGCAAGTTCGTGAGTTCGGTTCCTGGTACCGGAGAAAAACCAAAAAACCAAAAAAAAAAAAGTAAACGTTTATTGTCTGTTTGTAATGATTATTGAAAAATACCCAGGAAAAAAAACCAATATCTGTTGTTCTTACGAATAGTTTTTGTGTCTTTAATACAGTGAATAAATACGTGCCTAAATACTATGCACGATTAGCCAGTTGGAAGGGACGTAACTTCCTTCGCTGGGGTCTTGATGAGTATTGAGGGGGGTGCACTTAGCTTGGGTAAACAAAATACATGTTTTGTTTGTTTTTGATACTGGGAATCGAACTCACGACTTCATGCTTGCCAGGCAGGTGCTGTGCCCCTGAGCCAAAACCCCAGCCCTACATGGTTTTAATGTGTCTCTTTTTTCAAGATGTCTTATTAGCCTTGTAAATTTATGTAGAATTTGTCTTTCAGAAATTGAAAGAGAAGAACTGATATTTTGAGTAACTTGCTTTAATGTAACCAAGGTGTCGTTTTGCTCAGACCTTCGAACTACTATTTAAAAACACCCTCTTGGTAAAAGTCTTATACACAAGCCTGACAGGAAACCCTGGGTCCATGTGAAGAAGTAAATTTAGTATGTTTTACAGACACTTAGTGAGTCTACGTCATGCCTGATCCCTGTACTTTCTGTCTTCCAGTTCTCTCTTGCGCTATGGTGGCAATCTGTCCCTCCAAAGTGCCATGAGTGTGCGATTCAACAGCAATGGGACCCAACTCCTGGCCCTGAGGCGTCGTCTGCCCCCTGTGCTGTATGATATCCACTCCCGCCTGCCTGTGTTCCAGTTTGACAATCAGGGTTACTTCAATTCATGCACGATGAAAAGCTGCTGTTTCGCAGGGGATCGCGACCAAGTAAGTGCCTTCTGAGTCCTGCATCCCTGTGTTTTATGTACTGGTCTCAGTTAGGAAGAAACATTTGAGAAACAGCTAGAAGCTGGAAGTATTCTGGATTCATGAGTTTCTCCTTCCAAGCGGCTAGAAGGTGCATAGGAGACATATATCAGAAAAGAAGGCTGGCCACTGGCCACAGCATGGTTCTGAGCAACCTGGCTATGCCATATTTGTGAATGGATTTTAAGATTCTAAGACTGCTATTTCCAAACAAAGGAAAATTAGCTTACCAGTGAGAGGCAGGATTTTGTATGTGTGAATAAAACATAGTGATGAATGAAACACCTTAAGTACCATCCAAGAAGTATATATCTTAAATGGTCTTTCAGGATGGCATCTTTTTCTTGATGAAATGGGGCAGCTTTGTTTGAGGAGCCCGATGTTGACTTTTCTTTTTACTGCCCTCATCAACAGCTGGAACTGAAGATCCTAAGCTGAGTTTCCAACCTTTTCTCTGTCACTAAATATGGAGATACTGATGTTGATTTAAAGTTGGCAGTTTAAAAATATATTTGACATTCTTGATATTGAAAGACATCTGTCTGTCTTGGTCTTAGAAGTTCTGAAGTGTCAGTGACCAGCTAGATAGGTCTGAGTAATTGAGCTGAGTCAAGACAAACATAGAGCCCAGCGTGGCGACGCACGCCTGTAACCCCAGCACCTGGGAGGCTGAGGCAAGAGGATTGTTGCGAGTTTGAGACCAGCCTGGGCTACAGAGTGAGCTCAAGGCCACCCTGAACTGTATAGCGAGACCCTGTCTCAAAAAGAAAAAGATAGATGTAGAGAAAATTGATATTCAAATAAACAGGTAGAATTTTTTTTTTTTATTCTCAAAGATGAAGAATGTTGCTGCTATTTTATATCCAGAATATGAAAAGGGAAACTCTACTCTCTTGCTAATCTTTTTTTTTTTTTTGTCTTTTTTTTTTGAGACAGGGTCTCGCTATGCAGTTCAAGCTGGCCTTGAGCACACTTTGTAGCCCAGGCTGGTCTCAAACTCGTAATTTTTTTTTTTTTTGATTTTTCTCCGGTACCAGGAACCGAACTCACGACCTTGAGCTTGCCAGGCAGGCGCTTTTGCCGCTGAGCTAAATCCCCAGCCCCTCAAACTCGTAATGATCCTCCTGCCTCAGCCTCCTGAGTGCTGGGATTACAGGCATGCGCCACCATGCCCAGCTCTTGCTAATCTTTAATGTCCTCATCTTTGGACATACCAACTGAGTGATATTTTGACATATAATTCTCACAGGCTGTACCCTACCTCTTTAGTTATTTTTGGGCAAGAGATATTAAAAAAATTTTTTTTTCTATGAGAATTCTAAGACTTTGCTTTTTAAAGGCAGAAGCTGGGATTTTTCTTCCTAACCTGCAGTTACTAGAGGCCAGTGTTGTAGTTAGAGGACTATGTACGTAGTGGGAAGGACTAGTATATGTAATGGGAAGAAATAAACACTTGCTGAATTGAGTTGCATGTAAATAGATGAAAATCCTTTGTTTTCTAAGATTAAGCCTCACTCTTTCTTCCTTTCTTCCTTCCCCTCATCTCCACACTCCTTCTCTCACCTCCCCTCTGCTTTTCTAGTAGCTGGTATTACATGTGTGCCCCACCATGGGCTACTTCAACTTCCTTTTTTATACGTAAGAGAATATATACCTAAATACTGAATTTGTATTCAGGTTGAAAGTCCGGGTGCCTACTTAGCTGAGAACCACACAGGAGACCACTAGATGGCCCCAGTTACATGAGCATGCCTGCTTGGGGAGGCCACAGTGCCTAAAAGACCTAGTTGCCATTGTGCTATTGCAGAGAATTTGTTTCTTGAGTAGAAAGAATAAGCCTAAGCCTCTAGAGATGGGATGATCAGAGTCACAGTAGAACAGAGAATTGTCTGCTGTGCGGAATGGTTGATTTAACTTCATACAGCTGTGAAACGACAACCAATTCCCCTCCTCTTTTCATTTTTCTTCTATGGCTTTATTGATGTTTCCACTGTCTGTCAATCTATTATATGATTCTTATTTCACTGAAAAATAAAGAGTCTGCAGTAAATGTAATTATTTATTAGACTTTATTACCGTGAACACATGTTGTGGGAAAGGAAAAAGATGAAGGAAAGTGAATGTTGTGGCTTTTTCAGCCTATGTCTTAACCACTGAATCTTGTTTTCATGGAGCCCTTAAGAAACCCAGCTCAAAGCTCAGGCATAGTGATGCATGCCTGTAATCCCAGCATTTGAAAGCCTGAGGCGGGAGGATTGCTGCAAGTTTGAGGCCAGTCTGGATTACATAGTGAGTTCAAGACCAGCCTGAACTACATAGCAAGACCTTGTCTTACTACAGCAACTACCACCACCACCAAAAAAAAACAAAACAAAAAACAAATCAAAAGCCCCTGGCAGCCTGGCATGGTGGCACACGCTTGTAATCCCAGTACTCCAGTGTTCAGGAGGCTGAGGTAGGAGGATCATTGCAAGTTCAAGACCAGCCTGGGTTACAAAGTGAGCTCAAGGACAGCCTGAACTGCATAGTGAGACCCTGTCTCAAAAAGACAAAAACAAAACAAAACAAAAGCCCCTGGCCAAATTGTGGAGCACCTTAATACTATCACATTTTGGTTGGATAAGTCCTTTTTGTGTAGGGATGTCCTATACATTACAGGATGGGAAACAGTGTCCCTGACCTTTCCCCACTAGATGCCAGTAATATCATCCTTGGATGTTGTCCCCTTCATTGTAGATTATACTCATCCATTTGCCCAGAAGCACTGGTGCAGGTGTTGGCAGAGGCAGAGCTCTGCAGGGTGTTTTGTGATGGGTATGTACCTTGAAGGTACAGTTGATTTTGCTTTGGAGGTTATATGTATTGATAAAAACATTGAGTGCTTTTGATTCTTACAGTTCAGATTTGACTAGTTTATTATTTGTGACTTTTGTCCTAATGGGAGAGATTATGGATATCTCTCTAATAAACTGCACTAAAAGTGTTTTCTCTTGGAGAAAGGAGGATTCAAAGGCAGTGACTCTCACTTTGGACCAGTCAGAGCTACTGTTAAGTCTGTTCATATTCCCCTGTATTATCGGAGGCATACAACCTAGGGAAACGTAAGTAGAGCACAATAAATATTTGTTGAAGTAAATCTTGAGTGTTTTGGTTAATGTGTGGTATTTAGCTTTCTGGGCTTAAGGCTTCTCTAACTGAATCTTGATTGATAAATACCATTTCTTCAGTTCAGCTTTCAGGGAGTTTTAGGAGGCTGAATTAAATAATGGATTTACAGTAACACTAGTCAGTTGAGCTTACAGCTTTTAAATGCTGCACAAGAGACCAAACTTTCTGTCCTCGTCCTAGAGCATCTGTCTTGAAGGAGATGTGTAAACTCTGGCTTTCGGCACTCAGGGCCACAACAGCAGTTGCCATGGTTCAGTATGATCTCTACAACTGACATGTATTCTTCGACTAGTCCAGACAGGATCTTTTTTGCTGCTTTCAAATTCCAAAGCCTATACTTTCCTTATTGTAGTCTGTACCTATCTTCCTCTCTTCTGCCCTCCATCCCTCCCTTTCTCTCTCACTTGCTCGTTCTCTTTCTTAGATGGGATGTTGTTGTGTTGCTCAGGCTAGCCTCAAACCCACAATCTCCCTGTCTCAGCCTCCCAAGTATTGTACTTCAGGGGCACAGGCATGTGCCACCATGCTCATCTCTGTATGTGCTGAGAATGCCTGCAGCCTGAGATTGTGCTCTGCAATTCTTCCTTTAGTCATAGGCTGGGTAACCATCCCAGAAAGGAATCTAAGAATTTCCATAATAGGTATGAATATGGACAAGAAAACAGTAAGTGATCCCATCTCTCTGAAATAGTCTCCTGGCTTTTACTTACAAAGAGACTACTCAGAATACACAAATGGATCCAGATATTGTGCCAGAGGGCCCATACTTCTTTTTAGACGATGCTAACTTCACTAGGTAATTCATTAACCTAAAAATGAAATTAACATTTCAAGAAATTGGACTCAGGAATAAGCATGAAGTACATTGAGCCTGTTTTGTTTCATTTACATGTTTCTTGCCACCATCCTAAATGCATTCTAATCATAGAGCTATTAATGATACTTTTGTGCTCAGAAAGTTTATGTACATAAATCAAGTTTGTAGCTGAACCAGGACTAAAACCCAGAGTTTTTTTGTTTGTTTGTTTGTTTTTGTCTTTTTGAGACACAGTCTTGCCATGCAGTTTAGGCTGTCCTTGAGCTCACTTTGTAGCCCAGGCTGGTCTCAAACTCTAAACGATCCTCTTGCCTCAGCCTCCTGAGTGTTGGGATTACAGGCGTGCGCCACCACACCCGACTAGAACCCAGATTTTTGAGTTCTCAACAGAGAGCACATTCACTATACAGTGGTCATAACTTGATGCCATTAGGAGCAAGGCTGGCTGCACAGTGAGTGAATTGGGTGGGAGTGCACTGCGAGTGTTGAAGACTGTGGCCAGCTAGAGTCTGCATTCCATCAAAGTGGGACAGCATCTGCTTAGCTTCAGCCTGTTGTTGCTGTGTGACTTAGTTACTTTTCTCGTTGCTGAAACAAAATGCCCAACACCCACAAGTTAAGGGAGGAAAAGTTTATTTAGCTCACAGTTTGTGGAGGTTTCAGCCCATAAATCAACTGGTTGCAAGGCAGGGTGGCTTGACAGAGGGGCATCACAGGAAAAACAGCTCATGGTGGCCAAGGACAGCAAAAGCAAGCAGGGGATCTAAACGCTGTCATTCTGCCACTCTTCTCTTATCCAGGGTACTTAGGACAGGTAGTGCTCACACCCTCAACCCTCATGCCCTTGAGCCAAGCATTGCATCATGAATCGTCACACACTCTAGATCCTACCACCTCTGCAAAAGCCCCATCTGTGACTGCATGAAGCTTTAGGAAACCTCTAAACACAAGCCATAACGTTATACCATGTGAGCCT